AACTCTGTGCTCATGTTCTCTGCTGAGTACCATCTCTTCTTTCTGTATTATGTCTACGGAAGGCTAGTTGCCGCAGTCGCACCTATGGTAAACTGTGCCTGACTACGTTGTAACAGTTTTCCTCGACAGCCTGAAAGCTTTTCATACTAACAGGGAAAGAGCCTTAGTTCGCCTGAAAACTTTTCATACCAACAGCATTCGGAGACGGTTTTACGTACAACCAGAGTCCGAACAGCTGTTAGGCTGTCTGACTCTGGTTTTCCCCCAGGGTTGTAATCGCTGCAATCAGGGCTGCCCCAAACGTTTCATCGGCTTCCAGGCGGGGTTATATATATGTGTCTTCATCGTTGACGACTGGTGATGATGTGTACCATGACTTTCAGGTAGGTGTGTTTCCCAGACTTTTTTTCTTTCCTGAAAAAAGGCGTCAAGATGGCTCCGAGAGGGAATCGAACCCTGATTGTACTTTTGCTACATATAGAACATATCCACTGAGGTAAACAGAGCTGACTGTTTAGCTCAGTGGATATGTTGTATATCTAACAAAAATACAACCAGCTGACTGTTTAGCTCACTCAGTGGATATGTTGTATATCTAACAAAAGTACAACCAACCAGGGTCCGAATCCCTCTGGGAGCCATCTTGACGTCTTATATCAGGAAAGAGACAAAAGTCTGGGATACACACCTGAAAGTCATGGTACACATCATCACCAGTCGTCAACGATGAAGACACATATCCCCGCCTGTAAGCCGATGAACCGCTTGGGGCCGCGCTGATTACAGGGATTACAACCCTGGAGGACGACCAGAGTCAGACAGCCTATCAGCTGTTCGGACCCTTGTTGTACTTTTGTGAGGTATACAACATATCCACTGAGCTAAACAATCAGCGCTGACTGTTAGCTCAGTGGATATGTTGTTTATCTAACACGTTTACCTTCGAGCTAGCTCGTTTTCTGTCGATGCGAACTCGCGATGTGTTCAAACGTCATGGGCTACTGATCGACCAACTTCCACCGGGGCCAATCGGTTGGGATCTCTGCGGCAACGGTAGTAGTGAGGGTAATTCTTATGGGAGTGACGTAAACGCAGGAAAGGGAAATGCAAGAAAGGAGGACGAAGACCACGATGGAGGAGGAAATCATGGAGGAGTGGAAGAGAGTAAAGGGTTTGAGCCAGATGACCTAACCTAAAACAAAAGATGGAGGAGGAAATCATGGAGGAGTGGAAGCGAGCAAAGCGTTTGAGCCAGATGACCTACCCTAAAACATAAAACGTAGGGCTAGGGAAGAACTGTCTAGAGATTCTTGTCAAAATGAGGATTAGAATGATGGTAGCGAGAAAAAGACGGATAATGGAGAAAGTACTCACTCCTAAACGAACTCGAGTGCAAGGTAGTAGCCTTGGTAGACGCGTGCAGTTTCCTTCTGTTGCTGCTGTTTCTGTCTTTGATCCGAAGGAAAGTTCAGCCTCCCTCATGCTGCACCCTCACGGGGTCCCAGTTCATGGCAGATAGAAGTGTTTTGTGCTTTCAACCGCACTGAGACTGACGTCTTTTCATTGGTCAGCCGGTTAGCGCGGTGGATGCTAATAATAAACACACACATTGTTGTGCTCTACCCCAGAATGGGTGGTGGTAGCACTGTCTGACCCCCCCCAGCCCCCTGCCCTCGGTGCTGTATATCGATTGACCAGAATGATGACGACGAGTGCGTGTTGAGCATCTCCTCAACAGAAAAATACGGACCCCACGAGGAGACCCTGCTGGTTTGGGCGCAGATGGTTGTGTACGATACGAAAGAGGAAGCGGCCGAATCCCTGTGCCCGGACGGGACGCCGCAGGGTATGTTCGCCTCATCCGTGCCCTGGAACACGAGGAGTTGCGCGCTACCTGTCTTGCCGGGAAGGGGTTCTTGGGTTCGCAGACTAGTGTGCGTCGACCCCACGTGTCCGGTGTAGTACCCGAAATGCGCGCCGGATGAAGACTGCCGCTACCCAGTAGTGTTTAGTCCCCGTGTGCCGCAAGACTTGTCTAGCTATGACCGGATGGCTGGAACGTGGAAAGTAGGGGCGAATGGCATTGCTCAGAATAGCGGCAGTCCTGCCCCATCAGGGTCCAGATGGAAAAGACTATTCAGGCTACGAGGGACTCCCGCCGACTGCACCCAGCCCGCGTTGTGACACCCGACCAACCGGTTGTTTTCGTGGTTACCTTCTACTGGACTGAGGAAGAACACCCAACGCAGACGAGATACGCGCCGGACTCTCGGTTGTGCCGGAAACTCAGGCGTCTGATGTCTCGGACGTCGAGGACACTCCTGATGATGTCCCTCCCCGTGACAACAACGGGAGTGGTCATGCGGACGGAGTGCCGGGAGCGCAGGGGAGAAACACTCGACGAAGGACGACGACGTCGACTAGAAGAACGCGGCTGCCCCTGCAATCGCGACCGAGAAGACGGCGCAATCTGCGAAATCTCGTCGTGCTGCTAACCCGTTCGCGGGGCCTTCTTCAGCACAGCACCCCCACGACACCAGGGGCTCTCCAAAGAAAAGGGGACTAACCCAACCTCAGGAACCCAAAATTGCGGGTGGGGTGAAAAAACCCGTTGGGTGCTTCGAACACTCTGAGGATAACAGGACGACACTAACCCGAACCCAAGGCGGAATACTTCTACAAAGTTGAGGTGTCGGCAACCTAACAGAAAGGATGACTGCTGGTGTCTGAGTTTGAGGTCTTTCACGTAGGTTCCCAATCTAGCAGGTTGCTATATTGAAGGCAGCCTGCGCGGAAACACGCTGCAACCTGGCGGTTCGTTCGCGACATCAATTGGGGAGGAGCAGGCCCTGCTTTTGTGTATCTCCTTTGCCTTCGTTCACCTGTGGCACAGGTCTTGTCAGAATTGTCTGTTGGGATCCATCATTGGGTTCGAACAACATGTTCGCCTGATTGAGAGCGTAGCATCTGATTGAGAGCGAGATTGCGCGATACGCTGTAGCCGGACTACCACTGAGAGGTGGAGCTTGCTGTGTAGCTTGAATTGAAGGGCTAGCCCGTAGCTTCAAGCCGCTACCCTGGTCATCCTGTGGGAGTCTCTCGTTGTGGAGCTACAGCGGGGAGCAGAAGCTACAGCAGAGCCCACCGCCCGACGCGATACCGCCCTGAAACAGTTTGAGCAGAAATAGCCAATCTGGGCAAATCTAGCAACTTGTCTAGCTCCTCGCTGCAGCATCCGATGACGATGACACGCATATGCTCGCGAAGCTGCTGATGAGACCTTCAATTTGCACCGCTTCTTGGAATAGCCCGTCCCCTACTTGCCAAGAAATGGCAAGAGGCGTCTGGACCCGAAATTTCAATTTTTTTGGCTCTCGCTCTCAATCAGATACTTCGCTCTCAATCAGGCGAATATGTTGTTTTCGGTAATCTGCTGATCTCTTGGCTTTCCGGGGCTTCCCGAGAAAGCACTAGGTGGCGTTATTTTTCGTATGAATATCGTTGAAGGTGTGCCTAATGACGCCAATCCTAGTTTGAAGTTTGGATCAACCATGCTCTCGACGGAGTGTCTTGTAGGAGTGTCGACATTCGGGCGTATTGGGGAAGTCGTTTTAGCATATTTTGTCTACTTGGGGGGTAGAGGGGGGGGGTGTTGAACCAGGTGCGGTTTGGGGTCCTTGGCGGAGGAATTATCGTGATTTCAGGCGTTGCCAATGGTGTTGGTACCGGCGAAAGGGCGTATGTTCGATTTGAAGGACGCCCGAGGATGTTTTTCGTTGGAGCGAAAACAAATATAAGGCACTTTTGGTGCGCCAACCTGCCCAAACATTCTCTCATTTAATATTTTTTTCTCAACAAGTATAATCCACTGTTAGAACCTGAATTCCCATCGGGCTTCAGAGCATATGACGCACAAAGCATCTTGACAGCAGACGGGGTAGTGTTGGATATCTCGCAATTTTGAATGCAGTCTTCGGATTGCTCACGAAAAGTCCAAACGACCTCATTCAGCTGACCGCTGTTCACCCTGCTTGCATGGCCCATTGTACGTCCTTACCCGACACAAAACCGACGGTTGCTCCTTACAGCAGCGGCTATTGAATTGAAACGCACGGTCTGGTGATATCCCACAATTCGCCGCACAGTCACGCTGTCCTATCCTGACGAAAGATTCACAATACGATGATGAACGAGCGTGGTGTAGTTTGAACAATTTAGTCTGCAACATGTAGTCTACAGGCTACCGTCAGCAGGGGGGATCGATCATACCTGCAACAACAGCGTGGTGTTGCGGGATCTGGATCTGTGTTGTTGTTGCTGTTGTTGTTGCTGTTGTTGTTGAAGAAGGCGATTAGAGGAGGGGAGATGATGCGGGTATACTCTGAGAGCCATGCGTATCCCGTCGATTAATTTGTAGTTGATCGATTGATTGACGTATGATTGCTATTCCTCATCATTGCCAAACGTTGTCTGCAACGTCACGACTCTCAAACATCTTTCATGCATGTATGTCAAATTCACATATTTTATGCAGCAGACTTGTCCCGTGATTTGATTCTCGCTCGTTCGGGGTCACCTCGTACGCCATTACAGTGGGGGCTACAGCTTAAGAGAGGGGTGTCCATCACCCAGAGGACCTCTGTTAAACACGACCTTCTCTTAATACGGTTCAAGAGAGGTTTCTCTTAAACCGTACGTTCGGTTTAAGATAAAACCTCTCCTAAACCGATTACATGTCTTTTAACAGGGTCTAACATGATGGAACTGATGAAAAGTATTTATTTTTTGTTTTCCACAATATTTTCGTGCGGTATAGGGCCCTCACTTAGCGTGATCCCTCCTTCTTGTGTACGAAGCACAACCGATGTAACTATCATGTGGTCTCCAAGGTCTACTCCGACCTCATCTCGACAAACAGCAGTGCATATCATCGGATAGCTTCCAACAGAACGCAGGGACGTGGTGAGCATCACACACACAAAACACTCAAGACCAGTGACTCAAGCACCTACAGCGTACAAGTAGTACACCCGAACCTTAATATAAGGAAAAAAGACGTCCATGAACATCGCCTGTGGGCAGCTTCTGCAACTTGACATGAAGTCTGCCATGCATGTTTGCTTCGTTTTCTTTGACCCAGCCTCGCTCATCCAGGCTAACTTCGCCTTGCGAAGATGGTAAGCTATCCCGGCCATGCTGCACCTCTTTGCTATTTCTTCGAGGTCTCCGAACTGCATAGATACGTCAGCGTACTGTGGCGGACGAGGAGAGACCAGGGGCTGCGTACACTGTCCCTCGTCTCCCACCGAAGAGTCGGCCTCGTCGTCGTCTGAGTGTTTGTTCAGCTGGTCCATGTTCAGGTGGGCAAGCGACTCCTCACAAAGATTGTCCTTCAGATCTGCAATAATCGCCCCCGCTACACCCTCTTTTTCCTCTACACGCAACCGTGTCTGCACGGCTTCCATGGAAGCCCGGGTTGGCGTTGCGCCAGGTACCAACCGCAGACCCTTAAGCGCCTCGCCAAGGTCTTCATCGACAGTTGTCTTTTTCGCCTCACGAGAAAGACACTGCACCAAGTCCGTCAACTCTTCAAGACTCTCCTTCTTGTTGCGGATATTCTTTCCCACGTCCTGGTCGAGGTTCGCGTGCACCGCAGGAGGAAGGATGCCATATTTCCTCCAGCACCTTGAAAACGATGAATAGTCAGCGTACGCGGGAAGGAGAGAGAAACTTGCACGGCGGAAGGCAAGGGCCCCAGCATGGGGGACGGGGGTTTTCTGGAGGAGGACGTCATCAGCAGCAGCCGGCAGGAGGAAGATTCGGGGGGGCGTGGCGCCGCTTCCGGTGGGAGGTGCAGGGACCCTTTCCACCAGGGACCGCCGGACAACAACCTCCCCGCCTACCCTGTACCTCAGCGGGTCTACGACTACAGCGCCTACCCCCCCCACATGTACCACCCGTAGGGAAACGAACCTCCCATCCACCCGAACGACCCTCGCAAGCGGTGTGAGAACTGCAGTGAACTCGGCCACAACCATCGGTTCTGTCCTTCGCGTGTTTATGTCGGAAGGCCAGCTGGCATGCCGGCCGCCAATGCGCCGCCTAGGCCCCCACCGCCCCGGCCGCCGGCCGGTGGCTACAGCCAGCGGCCGCCGTGGGCCCACTCGTACGGGCAGGCCAACACCGCGCAGCAGTACGGCGGAGAAGGGGTAGAGCCAGGAGCAGCAGGAGCGACGGTGGCGACGACGGCAGCACCATCTACGGGGGGGCATGCAGTGACGCACGTGACCGGTGTTTATCAACAACCGGTGACGCACGCGAGCGATGTGTACGAATACCCACCCCACCAGCAGCAGCCGGAGTACCTATCCCCCCCGTTCCAACAGCAGCAGCCAGTCCCCGCCCCTTACGCCTCTCCCGCGCCTTCGACCGGAGCACCTTCGTCGGCAGGGGGAACTTTGCATGCGTGTGTTGTAAGGCACATGTCAAGTGAGTACCAGAGTGAGATTTCGAGTGGATTCGTAGGGGGTGAGGGGTATGCCGTGATGAATTCTATACCGGTTGTGAGGGCGGAGCGTGTAGGAGTTGAAGAATGGCTTGCAGACTCCGGTGCAACTAACCACACCTCCGGAGACCCCACGAACATGTACGATGTGATCATCCCGCCCCTTGGTAACGAGAGCGTGCAGATCGGTGATGACAGGACGATGCGAGTGCTTGGAATCGGATGTTTAAACGTGAGGTTTCATCTTGAAGGTAGAGGTTTTTGAAGCTTACCCAAGTACGTCATGTAGAAGGAATGAAGTTCGATTTTTCTCCCTCCACCAAGCACAGGGATTGCAACGTATTGCCTTGGAAGACGTAGGCACCCATCTTTTCCATGGCCAATTGACCTTTACCCGTGGCGAGAGGGGTTCGTCGCTATGGGCCGCTCGCTTGCCGCCCAACTATGAAACGCCCACCGCTGTGCCTGAAATGCCTTTTCCCCCGATGCCCTCTCCCGGCGCTGCTGGTGTATGTTCACATGCGAGTGATGGTAGAGTGATGCCAAAAACCCACCAGTGTTTCCCCCGCCTCCGGTGATGTCTGTACCTCATACCGCTCCCAAGAGTGATATTCAACCCACCGTGTCGAATTTTCCACCCGCTGCTGCCGGCGTCGTACCTTCCACGGTGTATGGTTTCCCGCCCGCTGCCAAGACCGTTGTGCCCTCCACTGTGCCCGGTTTCCCGCCCGCTGCAAACAGCGTAGTGCCCTCTACTGTGCCCGGTTTCCCGCCCGCTACAAACCGCATAGTGTCATCAATTGTGTACGGTCTCCCGCCCGATGTCAGCAGCGTCGCTCCTCCGGCAATGTATGCCCCCCACCGCTGACAGGAGAGTGGTGTTTCCTTCCGCACCTCAAGTGCCGCGTGGTATGGAGTAGGTAGCTGTTCCTGGGCTGCCCTCGCCCGATATCTCCATTTTTCAAGAGAGTAATGACGATGACGACCGTGGATGCATTCCGTACACGGAGCAGGGAGATCACGAGTGGGCTGTGTACCTATTGGAACAAAGANATTGACGTTAACCTTCTCCATGTTTCGTCCTCCCACGCCAATGAGTTTCTTTTGCGTGAGCTTGCGAAGCAGCACGGTCTCCGACTGACCGGTGTCCTGCAGCCTTGTGGTGGATGCCTGCAGGCGAAGGGGAAGAAGGCGGGCGTGCCTCACCAATCGGGCACGCGCGCGTAGCGGCCGCACGATCTTTGGCATATTGATCTGTGTGGGCCGATGACGGCCTCGTTGGGGGGGGTCGTTTTTCATGATCACGTTCGTGGACAGCTTCTCGCGGTGGATGAAGCTGTACGGGATGAGGCGCAAGTCGGACACCCTCGCCTTCGTCAAGAAGTTCCTCGCCGACATGAGTGGCACCGGTGTCCCTCGCTCTTTCCGGATGGACAACGGGGGGGAGTTCATCGGACGCGACTTCATCGCCTTCTGTGACAACGCCGGCATCCGCCGTACGTACACGGCGCCGGGCACCCCGCAGCAGAATGGTCCGGCGGAGAGTGCGATCTGGCGCGTGAACAAGGCCGGCCACGCCGCTCGTCTCGAGGCACGCCGCCTGTTCCCCAAGATCGACTTCACCCGCGTCCCCGGCTTTGGACGCGATGGCGAGCGACTTTGGCGAGAGTCGTGTCACTGGGCTGCCGGCGGCTTCAACCGTTCTCCGACCAAGGCAAACGTCGGGTACAAGTCGCCGCACGAGCTCTTCACCGGCCGCCCGCCCCCGATCCAGATCCTCTCGTTCTTTCAGCCGGGGTACATGCGTGTGATGCGCGCGCGGAAGATGCATCCCCAGGCAGTGCTGTGCTGCTACCTCGACAACGGCGACAACCATCACGAGTCGGTGGTCAAGGTCCTCAAGTTTGCGACGGGGCGCGTGTGCATGACGAACAACGTCGTGTGGGTCTCCGACCGTGCGCCGTTGCTGACCCCGCCGCTGGAGATGCCGGCGCCGGCGGGCGACGGGGGGATTCGGATGTCGCCGCCGCACCGTTTATAATAGAGTACATTTCGCCGCCTCTGTTACCCCCTTCACCATTCGTCCAATATCCTAATTCACCCGCTGCCATATCCCCACAGGCGCCGCCGGCAACTTGCACACCACCATCTCCGGCGGCGCCGTCTACCGTAGCCACATCATCGCCACCGGTCACCGCGCCGCCTGCGACGCCACGGTACACCACCACCGCGCCGCCTGCAACGCCGCTCGCCGCCGCGCCACCGTTCACCACCACCGCGCCGCTTGCAACGCCGTTCGCCGCCGCGCCACCGTTCGCCACCACCGCGCCGCCTGCAACGCCGTTCGCCGTCGTGCCACCGCCTCCCGCCGTCGCGCCGCCCGGTGCCGCGGCATCAACCAACATTCCGCCGCTCACTAATACGAGGACCATCCGTGAACTGGACGTGGGGCGCGGGGACATGAGGGTTTCTGGGCGCACGAGGGCAGCCGCTAAGGACTAAGGGGGGGGGCGAGCGTCGTCAATGCCGCCCCTTTCTGCCAGGGCCAATCGAGAGCTGGACTTGGGACGAGAGACGCGGGTGCCAGGGAGATTGAGGGGTCGGGGGGTGCGTTTCCAGGATGGGGGGGCCGACCGGGTCGACGTCACCTGGCGGGAGCGGCGACGCTCCCGCCCACCGCTTCGGGCTTGTATCCCTGCAGGACAATGCAGCGCTCCTGTCGACACTCACCACTCGCAGCGTCGTCGATAGGGGGAGAAAGGAGGTCCCGAGTTTAGCCGGAGGACGTGAAGGAGCGGAGCCGGGGGGGCGAGAGCGGGGGGGGACGAAAAAAGAAGGACTGCGTGAAGAAGTCCAATTTGCGTGCGCCACCTTGCTTGCCTCCCGCGAGGACATTGATCGCGCGATGATGGATTTAGATCCCCCGGAAGTGGCACCGGGCTTGCCACAGTGCTACGCGAGCGACTTGCGCGTGCCCAAAACGTATAGGGAGACTGTGTCCTCTCAACATGCTGACTTGTGGATACACTCTGTAGAGANTTTAACACAACGTGGTGCGATCATCCCCCTTGCGCGGAGTGAGGGTTCTCCACCCCGCACAACATGATCTACTCGACCACCATTATGGTTACCGCCAAAATAAAAAACCGGAGGTAAAAAGAAAAACAAACGGTAACCTGGTTGCCGAGTTCACGAAGTGAATTGGCTTGTTTTACAACGTCGTTGCCAAGCGACGAAAACCCAACCCCGGGAGCATGAAGGTCGCATGAAGGGTGCGCCGCATCCTGCTAAGGGTTTTCGGCATCTTTTGCTTACTTCTTTGCGTACGGATGACAGCTGCGTATGACTTAATATATTTGCTGGTGCTTTCACTTCCTGACAGTTGTAATCACTTTGTAACTGCCTCGAGGATGCTTGACCATTGTTACAAAACGTGGTGCGAGGGTTCTCGACCCCGCACAACATGATCTACTCGACCGCCGTTATGGTTACCGCCAAAAAAAAAAACAGAGGTAAAAATAACAACGGTAACCTGGTCGCCGAGTTCACGAAGTGAATTGGCTTGTTTTGCAAAGTCGTTGCCAAGCGCCGAAATCCCAATCCCGATGGCAAACACCGGGGGGGGGGGGGGGGGGGGGTTTGGGACGAGAGACGCGGGTGCCAGGGAGATTGAGGGGTCGGGGGGTGCGTTTCCAGGATGGGGGGGCGGAGCGATCGACGTCACCTGGCGGGAGCGGCGACGCTCCCGCCCACCGCCTCGGGCTTGTATCCCTGCAGGACAAGGCAACGCTCCTGTCGACTCTCACCACTCGCAGCGTCGTCGATAGGGGGAGAAAGGAGATCCCGAGTTCAGCCGGAGGACGTGAAGGAGCGGAGCCGGGGGGGCGAGAGCGGGGGGGCACAAAAACAGAAGGACTGCGTGAAGAAGTCCCATTTGCGTGCGCAACCTTGCTTGCCTCCCGCGAGGACATTGATCGCACGATGAGGGATTTAAATCCCCCAGAAGTGGCACCGGACTTGCCACATTGCTATGCCAACGACTTGCGCGTGCCCAACACTTATAGGGAGGCTGTGTCCTCTGAGTATGCTGACTTGTGGGTAGACTCTGTAGAGAGGGAGTTCAGAGGTCTGATGGAGACTGGTATCTTTGAGGAAGTAATGTAGCAACCACAGAGTGTAATCAAGGCCAAGTGGGTGTTTAACTGGCAGTCTGGTGAGTATGGATGGCCGACTAGTGTGAAATCACGGCTAGTAGCGAGAGGAGATATGCAGCGAGTACATGTAGGTTGTGGAGCGACGAGCGCACCGACTGTTGTGGTTTCTAACGTTCGCTTGTTGGCAGCGATGGCGTGTGAGCAAAATCTTTCTCTTCGTCATTTTGACATCAAACAAGCATTGGTCCAGTCGGATTTGGATGAGGATGTTTTCATGCGTCTGCCAGAGGGATGTGGTAGATTGTCAGGCGTGATTGTGAAGTTGAACAAGTGCCTGTATGGCCTTCAGCAGGCATCAAGGCAATGGCATTCACACTTGACGAGGTGTTTGATTTGTTTGGGTTTTATTCAGTGTCTGGCGGGTACGTGTATGTTTCGGTTGATCGAGGAGGGTAGAGTGGTAGTGACTCTGATGGTACATGTGGATGACATATTTTCGATTGGAGAGGAGGAGAGGTGTGACCAATATGGTAGGGACCTCAACACCACGGTACCGGTGAAGAATCTTGGTGACTTGAGGTGGTACTCTCGATTTTTTTATGAGAGGGATTGGGATGCAGGGACTTCGAAGATCTCGCAGCAGACGTACGCTGAAGAGTTGGGGATGAGGTTTGGGGTAGAGTACGGGAAGGAAATTCCTCGGCCATTAGGGTTGAAGCTTTCATAGTTTGACCAGGATGAGGAAGTGGTATCATAGCCTTCGCGAGCTGATAGGATCACTGATGTGGCTGGCAACGCAAACGAGGCCAGATATCGCGAATGCAGTAAGAGCGGTAACACGGTACTGTGCTTCTCCCAAAGAAATTCATTGGATAGCAGGTCTTGGTATTTTGGAGTATGTATGTGGTAAGGACTAGTGACTTGGTGATTACATTCAGGAGGGGTAGTGCAGCAGGGTTGAGCATGGAGGTGTTCGCAGACCCAGACTATGTATGCAAGGCTGCCGATAGGAAGTCTGTGTCAGGAGGATTGGTGATGTGTGGGGGGGGTTGTATTTCTGGGTTTTCAAGGACGCAAAAGTGCGTTACGTTGAGCACGACAGAGGCGGAGTATGTCTCCCTTGCGGATGTGATGAAGGAAGTGTTGTTTCTGAGGCAGGTATGGCGTTTTATGTTGCCAGAAGCAGGCATGCCGTGTATTCCGGTGTTCGAGGATAACCAGGGGGCTATTCAGTTGGCGCAGAACCCGATTAGCAACAGTAACCCGAAGCACATCGACGTAAGGCACCACTTTATCAGGGAACTGGTAGGCAGGAAGGAGATTTCGAGTTTTCACGTGGAATCAGCGTATCAACATGCTGACTTCCTCACGAAGGCAATTCACGTCGGAGATTTTGAGTTTCGTCGTAATTTCGTGATGAGTGTGGGACAGGAACGGTAGGTTTGGATTTATTTGTGTTTGATCAAAGAACTAGGGTGGCATTGTTTTACATGTTTGCCTATGGTGTTCTCAATGAATGGTTCTCTAGGTTGGGGGGCAATTGGATCGCTATGATTATCGAAAAACTACAACTGGAATGATCGGGGATGGAAATATATTTCTAGCCGAGAAGGCTATTGTTGCAGATTCGAGTTGTGTCTTGGATTATCTTCTTGTGTTTTGGAGTTGCTGAAAGATCATGAAGACATGGCATAGTCACCAGCAGGGGGGCTGATAGATATACTTGTAGCAATGCCAAGTGGTTGGTGCTGGATGTTCCCATGGAATGAGGTAGAGCGGAATACCGGGTGAGATGTGTGGTACGTAGAATGGATTCCAGGGATGCTCAAGGTACCCCTGTTGCATACGACGTCGCCCCCTCAACGGGGCTTGTGTGTGTATTTTACTATTAGCATCGACCGCGCTAACCGACTGACCAATGAAAAGACGTCAGTCTTAG